GATCTCCTTTAAAGCCCCTTTAAGAGTGCAGTTGTATAAAGAGAGAATGGTAGGGGTGTGTTTGCCCCCGGAACCCGTAATTACGCGATGGGGGACATGGATTAAAGCAGCTATATTCTATGCAGAAAATTTTGAAGCAATTAAGGATTTAATTTTGGATATAGAAGACAATTCACAATGTGTGGTGCAAAGGAAAGAATTGTTAAAAAATCCCCTTGTGCCTAAGCAACTTGTGTTTATAAAGGTTAATTTTAGTTTTTTACCTGATGTAATAACTTCATTGGAAAAGAAAAATTTAAGTTTAATCTAATCAACAAATTTTATTGCAACAGTTTCCGATAAATGTAACAATGTTCCTGGTGACATAGGCCTTAAGATTAGAAAAAAATTAAATACAACTTTATTAAAGAATGAAGGGTTCAATGAAATAAGGGAAGTAAAAAACATTTTTGAGGGAAAATTTTCCAAAGAAGTTTTACGTTGGCCCTATACATTACTTCCAAAATTACGGTATTGTCCTATTACTTCGGTAGATGTTGAAAGGACCTTTTCTATATCAAAACATATTTTTACAGACAGAAGGCAAAAATTTTTAATAGAAAATTTCGAAAAATATTTAATTATAAATTCCTATTATAATATTACTATTTAATATTTTTATACTATTCTATACTTAACTTCTACTAGTTTTTGTGTTTCGTTTGTTTTAAATAAATTTTTATATTACATATTTTCTTTTGTTTTTTTTTTCGTGTAATGGCTTTGATAGCGTACCAAATTAGGAACAGCAATGTTAATTAGAACCCAACAGTGAATGGTCAAGTGGAAATATTCGCTAGGCATCAGAATTAATTTTTAAATAAATTAATTAATTTAAAAAATCGCGTCCCGGCTGGGATTTGAACCCGGGACCCCTAAGTCCACAGGCCAACGCACTAACCACTGAGCTACCCACCCCCTACTTTTTTTTAAGTATTTTTAACAAATATGCATTTGCATATTTAGGCATAATTGGACAAAATAACTGCATATTTTTGGTAAAAACGATGCATATATATGCGCATATTTTGTTATATTTTGATGCATATATTCCGCCCTCTATTTATAAAGATGACTACCTGTATTGTCGTCTGTTAATAACAATGTCAATGTAAGTACTTCCGGTAAATTAACCAACGAATGTGCGCACCTAACCTGAGTTGCTATTTTAATTTTAGTATTGTTTGTTCAAATAGTTATTCGTTAATAAAAACCTTTGACCAAACTATTTCCACATTATTTTCTCTAACAGATAAAAACAAAACAAAAAGCAATAGCAGTTGCTGTGTTGTAAATTGTAAAAATGCTAGCAGAAAAAACAGTGTAAATTATATAGCAAAATGGAAATTAAATCAAAGAAATAATAATAATAATAATAATAAAAAATGTCTTTATTAACCAACAAAATACAAGGAAATTAAAATAGAATATTCACTATAGTACCTATATACATAAAAAATAAGAAAAAGGCAAACGTTGGTTATAGGGCGCAAAATCAGCTAGGCTGCTCTTCCTTAAGAACCCAAAATATATATATACATATATGTATACATATATAAATAAATAAAAAAAGAAAAAAAAAATAATATTAATAGTAAAATGTAAGAAATCGCGATTTAGAAGAAAAGTCATAATAAATTTATAACTCATTTATAAAACATTTATAACACATTTGCATAAATAAATAAATAAATAAATAGGTGAAATAATTAGTTTCAACACTGTTCGCTAAATAATTTTTCAAAAAGTTTTTGTTTGAATTGAGATATTTTCATTAATTTAAAATTGTCTGGTAGAAGATTGTATGCTTTGAAAATATTATATCTAAAAGATTTTTCGAAAAAGGTAGTTCTATGGACTGGAATAGAAATAATTTTTTTTCTTCTGATATTAATATTATGCACATCTGATCTATACTTTATTTTATTGGTTAGGTAAGGGGGAGTTGTGTTTACGATAACTTTGTGGAGCAATGTCAACGAATGTAATAAACTTCTGCGAGTCATATCAAATCAATGAATAGCTTTACAATAAGAAGAAAAACCTTTATTTTTGTAATAATAACAGTAATACTGGAAATAGTAGACATCAGAAAATTGAAAGGTTTTAAATAAAAAATAAATTATTATTTTACAATGTTCAGCATCCCTTAACTCTTAAATGTTCAGCAAAGATTACATTTCTGCCTTTGATTATTGTATGTAGCTGAAATGCAATCTTGTGACTTATTGATAGGAAACCAATTTTAATCAATAATTTCTATGGGTTCTTTCGAATTAAAAATGAAGAAAATATAAATTACAATCGGAAATTTACCAATTATTTTTGTTAATACTTTTTGATACTACGTTATTATACACTCACCGGCACGAAAAACGGAGCAGTTGAATTTTTTTAAACAAACTTAAAATTTTAATGCTTTGTGATGTTTTATTATTATAATATCTTAAACATAAACAAAACAACATGTTTTAAGTATTTTCTAACAACAATTGAACCTTTATTTGAAGAAAAGAAGGGTTTTGTAACATTTTAAAAAACGAAGATGAAAAAGCACAAATTGGTGTTGTTGCTAAATGACCTTAAATTAATCAAAACTGAAACGAGTTGCTAGCAAAAACTGGGTAGCCGCATTTTTAATAACGTGTGTTGCCCCCACGTGCTCGAATAATAGCCTACATCCTCCTTGGCATGCCTAAAATTAAGTGGCGAATGTCCTCTTGAGGAATATGTTCCCATTCCTCTAAAAGAGCTTGTTGCAACTGATTTAAAGTTAAGGGAGCAGGAACACGACTTCGCATCCTTCTTCAAGCATGTCCCAAACATGTTCAATTGGGTTCGCATCCGGGCTTAACGCTGGCCACTCCATAACAGGAATGTTTACATCGTTTAAGTACTGTTGAGTGATTCTCGCGATTTGAGGTCTGGTATTATCATGCATTAGAAGAAAGTCATTTCCAATAAAGTCAACATAAGGGACAACAAAATCTTGGAGAATTTCATCAATGTACCTGGCAGCAGTTAAGGAGCCTCTCGGAAGGATGTACAATTCTGTGTGTGCCTCCATAGAAATTCCGGCCCACACAATAACTGAGCCTCCTTGGTAGCCTACCCTAGGACTGAAGGTACATTCTGCGAAACGCTCTTGTGGTCTTCGCCATACTCTCTCACGACCACCTGGAGACCGCAGGCTAAATCTGGACTCATCCGTAAACAAAACGCGCCCCCATTCATTTTCACCCCAGAGCTCATGATTTCTGGCAAACTGAAATCGTGCAATACGATGACGCCTAAGAAGCTCTGGGCCTGTTGCAGGTCTACGACTGGTAAGATTGGCTTCTCCGAGTCTTCGTCTAACTGTCCGTTCGCTTATGTTGGTTTGCCGGACGTAATGAAGTCGATTTCTGATTTCAACAGCCGTAGCATGACGATTTCGCAGACTTTGTAAGATGATAAAGCGATCATCATGAGCGCTAGTTCTTCGTTGGGGACCAGTTCCAAGTCGTCTGGTGTAAGCTCCAGTTTCCAAAAAACGTGTAAAAATACGGTGCACAGTGCTATTGAATATGTGATACTGTTGGGCAACATATCGCTCACTTCTTCCGTCTTGAAGCAACGCAACAATAGTAGCCGCTATTTCGGGATTAACAGCCATAAGTTTGTAGGTGAAATAAACGCAGCACAACTTTAAAACATGTTTCGATCTGTCAAATTTCTCAAAACAATGAAAACAACAGCATTGTTGGTCATGGTTTCATAGCCAACTATGCACTTTCAAGTGATAAGTCCGTTCAATTTTTGATTTTTATTGAAAAACGCTTTTTTTCTTCAAATAAAGGTTCAATTGTTGTTAGAAAATGCTTAAAACACGTTGTTTTGTTTATGTTTAAGATATTATAATAATAAAACATCACAAAGCATTAAAATTTTAAGTTTGTTTAAAAAAATTCAACTGCTCCGTTTTTCGTGCCGGTGAGTGTATAATGGTAATGTTTTTATTTTCACATTATTTAACCTATTCTTAGTAGGCTTAGGCAACATATCATACATTTTTTTAGCTGAAGTAATAAAAATATATAATAACAATTAATTGTTTCACTTGTTTTACAAATACATATACTTTTATTAAAGTCAACATATATATTTTTTAATTGGGAACTCTATTAAAAATTGTATTGTCAGTATACGCAAATATCGTCCGTTAGTTCATGAATTAGTTGGCGCTGCTGTCCCGCACAGAGCGAATAATGATTGAAAATAGGATGCATATTTGTAAAAAATTAAAAAGGAATCATGTTTTCTGTTATCGATTATTTTAGGTAGAGGAAGAAGAAATTAAAAATTTGCGTTTTCATATTGTTCGTCGACGTGTTAAGTGAGTTTTTTTGTTTTTGTGTTTCTATAAATATTTGATTTTTTTAAATATTTATGGCTCTGTCTTCTTGTTCATATTTTTCTTTTATTTCACACCTTCTGTTTGTTTTTTAAAAATATGTGTTTTAAGTTTCTTGTTTTTTTTTATTTTACTTTTTGTCTTTTTTGTTGGGTTATTTTATTTATTAGAAACTTTTGTTAATTTGTATTGGTCTTTTATTTTTCATTTTCTTTGTTGTTCAACAAATAAACATTCTAAATTTTTTCAAAATTTTGCCCCTCCCTATAGAATTGTGTAACGACGCCCATGTGTGTTACAATTTGTCAAACCATTTTTAAATCAACATATCATATTCGAATTGCATCTGACGAACATATTTATTTAAAATTTGTAACTGATTTTCTTGTAGGTATGCTTAATTTGATTTTTAGTGTATTATTCAGGCATGTTCGAACTTTTGATCTAGTCACATGTTCAGTTGCTCCGCTGTCTGATTTTTGCCCTAGAATGTCCTTGTTCTCGTACACAGTATATTGTTCTATTCTGTAATGTTGAGACAGTCCTCGCTTCTGATTTTATGTTTTAGGTCTCATTTTGGATTGTACTACGTCAATTTCAAGGATCCTAATAGAACAAGAATACCAAAGAAGTCCGTAAAATTTTTTCAAAAATTAACAAAAACGAGAAAATTAAAATGTGATAAACCAAGTAGGAAATGGCCACATCCAGTACAATTTAACATGAAGGGTAAACCGATTAAATGGAAAAAACATTAAGGCAGATTACACAACAAAATTCTACCACCAGAAAAAATAAAGATGTGAAATAATAAGAATAAATAAAAGAAGGAATAACTTCTTGAGACATACGTTGTTTTATTTCTGTCATAAATAGTTCTTTAGCTTATTTCTTATGTATGTACTTGATTTTATGTTATCACATTTATCAGCAACGGTTGCTGTTGGGTCCGTAACTTAGATTTTAAGTTCAAGTTACTTTTAAAAGGGTTATCCTTCAGTAAGTTAGTCGACAAAAAATGATTAATTTTCATACGTTTCCATGCTTTTGTACATACGAAAACTCATTCAGTTTTGCTTCTTGCGTGGGTATTCTTTGCCAGTAGGTTTTTATTTAAGTTTTTTAATTTTTTTTGTAAAACAACACCACCTTTGTATGCTATTGAAATATTATAATAATAATACATTTCGGAAAAATTTACAATTTTTTTAAAATGTACTGGGGGCTTCGTTAACTTAGCAAATCACATAAAAAATTTTAATGTTTTTTCTTCTTCATTAGCAATGAATTAGCAATAAATTAGCGATAAATTAGCAGTAAATTAGCAATAAATTAGAAATAAATTAGCAATAAATTAGCAATAAATTAGCAATAAATTAGCAATAAATTAGCAATAAATTAGCAATAAATTAGCAATAAATTAGCAATAAATTAGCAATAAATTAGCAATAAATTAGCAATAAATTAGCAATAAATTAGCAATAAATTAAAAATAAATTAGAAATAAATTAGCAATAAATTAGCAATAAATTAGTAGTAAATAAGAGATAAATTGGCAATAAATTAGCAACAAATTAGCAACAAATTAACAATAAATTATCAATAAATTAGCCATACATTAGCAATAAATTAGCAATAAATTAGCAATAAATTAGCAATAAATTAGCAATAAATTAGCAATAAATTAGCAATAAATTAGCAATAAATTAGCAATAAATTAGCAATAAATTAGCAATAAATTAGCAATAAATTAGCAATAAATTAGCAATTATTTAAGCATATTAAAAAATCCAAAATTAGGCAGTGGCTCTGATTGTTTCGACGAAAGCTAACAGAATCCACGTTTATAATTTAATTTAATTTAATTTAATAATGGGTAATAAATTAGCTAGAAATTATAGAGTAGTTAAAAATCCAAAATTCGGATGTGGATCTGCTTGCTGTCAGGTACGCTAGCAGAATCCACGGTTTTTTAATGAAGAAATTGGGCAATAAAATAAAAAACCGGGTAATAAGTTAGCAATAAATTAGATACAAATTATGGCATAGTAAAAAATCAAAAATTCGGTTGTGGGTATGCTTGCTTCCACGTACTTTAGCAGAATCTACGATTGGTTCGATAAAGGGATAGAGTAAATAAATTAATTAAGGCGTAATAAATTAGCTATAAAATATATCATAGTAATAAATTAAAAATTCGGTTGTGGCACTGCTAACTTTTACGTGAATCTATGGTAGATACGCATGTGGTGCTTGCGGCTATTACCTAAAATTGTGGCATTTGCGCCCTATCCTACTTTTGGAGCTTACCTGCTTTTTAAGAAGGGTTAAGTTAGTGGCAGTTTCGCCCTGTTTTTATTTGCAGGTAAGCAAGTAGATGGTAGGTGGGTAAACTTTAAATATCTGCGATATATCTTTAGTATTCTAAATTTTATTTTTATTATGGTAAATCACTGGAAGATGGGCCATAACTACCCCAAAAAAAGTTTCTTTTAATGTATTTCTTTTTTTTATGGTATCTCTGATTAAGAGTTTTTAGCGACCGTATCTCAAAATATTTTGAAGAATAATTTATAAAAACACAAAAACTGGGCGAGGGTATACCTTTTCATCATATCCTTAATTTTCATGTTATTCTTCTCCCCTCCGAAAATATCATTTAAAGAGGAATTGCGAATTCAGCAATACATAGTACTGTGCATTGGATTACTTTAGTATAATTGGCAGATCTTCATGCAATGATCGGATGCGAATATATCCCAGCTTTGTACCGCAAAGGAAAGAAGAAGCCGTTACAAATTGTTTTGCAGAATTAAGAATTTCAAGATCCTTTTATAAACAACGTGAAGAAAGCGTTTCCGTGCTTGAACAATTTGTGTGCAGGTTATTTTTATTCCTCTATTATATAGAATAATTAACAATTCATACGTTGATTTGTACGAAACGTTATACATTCTTGCAGGTTGTATGATAAAACATCAACGACGTTAAGGAAGTCAAATTGGCTCTATTTTTAAAATCGTACATCATGAAGAGTAATAAATATTCATTCAACAAGAATTACGAAACTTTGATGCCTCGACTATTCCAGCATGCAAAGCTGAGTTATATCAACAACTATTGCAAGTATCTTACGTTGTCGACATTTAGTATAACGCCCATTTGAAAGTTCCAACAGTGCACGAAAATGCTTCCCATCATGGTTGGGATTTGTCTGATGATGGCTATACTTTTAAGTGGTTTGACGGTGAAGTTATGCCAAACACCATAAATGAAATAGTTCTGCAAAATATTGAGACTGACAAGCGTAACCATGAGGAACAGGAAACGACACAAACCATCGAGCAAGGTTAATGTAACGTTTATTTATTTTATTTATAGTTTATTTATTTAAAACACCATTTACAATTTATTTATAACGTACTAATTAATTTATATAATACTTATACACTCACAACTCACAATTCTAATTTATTTATTTCAATTTGTCTTTACTGTCCAACACTTAAATTGAATCTTCCTGTCCGTCGACAAATTCGCGCTATTTATATAAATCCAGCTCTATATCAGAACACTCTAGGCGACTCAGAACGATCCGGAATTGCTTCTCTATGACTCATACGCCGCAAAGGGATCAATCCGGTAGTTTCTCGAAGCGGTGCGTTTGTTTTTATATGACCAGCGCTAGACTTCATACCGCGGGTAGGGAATAAACAAAGAACAGAGATAGCGTCGCGTCACAATAATATAAAATAATATTTAATAATATTAATATTAATTCTCTCGATAAAACTGAGAAAAAGTCAGATGTCAGTGACTCTAAAAATACTATTTCTAGTTTGACGAATGACATTTCTCATGAAAATCTCGAGAGAAATGAGTACTTCCATAGTTTTAAAATAGGTCACCAGTGACTCTCATTCGTTTATTACAGTTTCAGACATTTCAAATAATTCGACTGATATTGGTATAATCGAATATTCGAATGACTTACCATTCGAATGATCACATCACTAGTCGACATTGTTAAGTTTCAGTAGCAATGGAGCAATTTACAGGGCTGCAACGTGCTTTCTTGTATTCGTATGTTTTATAAAAACAATGATTGTTATGTTCTTGTGCGTCGTTTGTACAGAAATCATTATTACATAACAAGAATGAATAATGTCCCAACTGCAAATTTAATTAAATATTGGCCAAGAAAGTTTGGGAATACTGAAAATTGAATTTGAACTTGGGATATCTTTTATTCTAGCTATGTTATAATGATTTCTGTGCAAGAATATAAGAGTCATTGTTTTTGCCTGCAAGAAACGAGTACTACTCAATTCACACTTGGCGGGAGAATCAATACAGGCAGCCATGTTAACATGACTACAGCTCAACAAAAAATGACGTGTTGGTCTCGGCAGTAGGGGTGGCTAAATATCGATAGTACTATCGATAGTATCGATAGTTTTATTTTTAAATTTACTATCGATAGTATCGACAGTAACTTTAACTATCGTCACGATATCGAAGGTCGAGACATAATGGAAAAGAAGAAAAAAATATAACCTATAAAATTTATATATCGATGGCTGATTTTGATGCTTTTATTTTTCTGTGCTTGGAGATTAATTAAAAATATATAATGGTAAAACGACAACAATCGTATATTTCGAATTATTTCAAAGGATATGAGATTGGTAATATTTTAAGTAAAGAAAACTGGTTATATACAAGGTGTTAAAAAAAGACTGTAACATATTTAGAGGTAACAGTATGGATCAAAATAAATAAGTCTTAATAAAAATGGGTCTGCAAAGTAACGGATTTGGAGATGTGAAAGGTTCTTTTTTTTAACTTCCTTTTTATTTCGTAAAACTTGCATTTTCTTATCATAGTTGGCTGATGCTTTGTGAAATTGCCTCGAGGAGCTACAGCAATGAATTAATAAAAAATGCCAACAAATGCGAGTTAATAATAGTTTGAATATTCTTCAGGAAAAGATGTCATAAATGCACTTTAAACATCTTATTTAAATTTGTTTTTGTTTGTACATAATAAATAATTTTAATTAAATGTTTCAAAAACTGTTCTGTATCTCTGGGGACCCATATTTATTAAGACTTTTTTGTTTATTTTGGTCCATATTATTACCTATTTAAATATTGATTACCCCGTATATTAAAGGTAAAATACCTTTGATTAAAAAGTGCAATTTTTAGTTGTTTTTATTTATTTTTATATACCCAGAAAAAGTGAAAGTCTCCTTTTTTTTTATAAATTTAAAAATTTTCTTTTCTGTCATATTTATAGGTGAATTATATTATTGATAGCACTATCGATAGTATCGATAGTTCTTCAGAAAACTATCGCCACCACCGATAGTTATACCTATAAATATTTGGCTCTGTACTCGGCAGTGACAGAGCCCAGTATATATACCAATCAGTATTGGCACTCTGAGGCGGTACGTTTGATCTTTAAAAGTAGAAATTTTAGTTGACACTTGACGTTTTCGGGATATGAAAAGTTTTCTTTACACGGACTTGGTATACCTGGTTAGTTTAATTTTTGTTCTGCTGCTTTTCAAATTCGTGTGTATGAAGGAGATGTGAGATACCTTTATAGACAATGGTTGAACAACTTAATTACTTTGAAGAAGAAAATAGATTAGATATCAGGGCAGTCTTCGCAAATGTAAGGACAGAACCGTTTTAAATTTTTTATATATGTGAAATATTACTTTTTGGTGAAAAGTTTAATTACTTTTAGTTCAAAATATAACGTTAGTTTGTCAAGGGAAATATATA